ATCGAGCCCCGCATCGGGCTCCCTGATCGGAGGGAAGCCTGCTTCTCCCTTTCCCACTCCCCCTGCTTGTGTTCCCTCTCTCACTGTGTCTCTGTCAAATAAATAAATAAAATCTTAAAAAAAAAAAAAAGAAACAAGAATACAATAAACAGTGGCTATCATCATCATTATCATTTTTTTTTTTTTAAGTAAGCTCTACACCCAATGTAGGGCTTGAACTCATGACCCTGAGATCAAGAGTCATATGCTCTACCCACTGAGCCAGCCAGGTGCCCCATGTCACCATTATTTTTTATTACAAAATTCCTCATGGAAATTGTTCCCTCACTCCAATAAAACTGCACAAGCTAAGAACTTGCCAATGTTTATTTTTTGCTTCTGGTTATGATTATCAAGGTCTAATTAGCTACTAGTAATATTAAGATTTCTTGAAACTAGAGGAGGAAAGAATAATAAGAGTTCATGGTCTACAGTGATAGAAACAACAATGTTGGGAACTGCGGAGTTAAAGTATCTTGTTGGGGAAAGACAACTGAGTAAGGAATCAGAAAATCTAGATTCTTGCACCAGGTCACCCAAAATTCTGTGAGTTAGGACCTGCACAAAACCCCATCAGATCCATTCCTCATTTCTGCATTAGATATAACATCCATCTACCCTACTACAGATCAAATGAGATAATGTATTTACATGTGTTCTAAAAATTATAAGGGTCTATCTGACGCAAGGTACAGTATCTTCCCCCCCTTCTTTCCTTATTTATTTATTTTAAAGATTTTATTTATTTACTTGAGAGAAAAGAGTGCATGAGTGAGCACAAGCTGGGGGGAGAGGGGGAGGGAGAGAGAGAAGCAGGCTCTCTGCTAAGCAGGACCGGGATCATGACCTGAGCCGAAGGCAGACGTTTAGCAGACACTTAACCAACTGTGTCACCCAGGCGCCCCTCCCTCCTTCCACATTTAAATTAAGTCTCATTATATTTTCTATGCCAATAACCACTAAAAATATGAACCGGTCCCATGAAGGTGGTCACTAAAAAGAGGCCTCACATGGAACCTTTTAGGGAAAACCCATGAGCTAGGTATCCCAGAGCAGCAGTCTTTAGCTGGGTTATTTCTACTCCTTAATCTTCCAAGAGTGTGAGCAGGCCTGAGGAGTTTTAAGAGAATTGCTCGCAGAACCTCCACTTCCTCATAAGCTCTTTCCTAGAACTGGCCTACCTGAGGACAGCTCGTGCTCACTGATGGTCCAGGGCCCTCTCACAGCCCCTGCTCTGCCCTTCCTTTGCACGTCTCCCCAAACTCAACATGAGGCAATGATGCCTGACTTTTTTTTTTTTTTAAAGATTTTATTTATTTATTTGACAGAGACAGAGATAGCGAGAGCAGGAACACAAGCAGCGGGAGTGGGAGAGGGAGAAGCAGGCTTCCCCCCGAGGAGGGAGCCCGATGTGGGACTCGATCCCAGGACCCTGGGATCATGACCTGAGCCGAAGGCAGACGCTCAACGACTGAGCCACCCAGGCGCCCGATGCCTGACTTTTTAAGTCTTTTTCTAAGTCAGATGTTTCTAATTCTTTCAGCAAGCTGGATGACTCAACAGGTTGCTAACCGATGCATAAAAAAATCAGTTTTGACAGATCGATCACCTTGGTTCTCGGCTTATAACTGAGAAGAAATTCAAAGAATTCCTATTTTAACAAAACTCTTCCTATTCCCATTTACTTATGTGAACAAGGTTCTCAGCATGAAAATAAAAAACAGGAACAGAATTGATATTATAGCAATAAACAATAGTCATTGTTGACTACATGACCTAATTAGAAAAACCTAAACAAAATAAAACTTATCCATGTCATAGGAGTAAGCTTTTCCAATAAAATTTACTTTATGTGGGGTGCCTGGGTGGCTCAGTTGGTAAGCGTCTGCCTTCGGCTCAGGTCACAATCTCAGGGTCCTGGGATCGAGCCCCGCATCAGGCTCCCTGCTCAGCGGGAAGCCTGCTTCTCCCTCTCCCTCTGCCCCTGCTTGTGTTCCCTTTCGCGCTATGTTTCTCTGTCAAATAAATGGATAAAATCTTTAAAAAAAAAATTTTACTTTATGTGTACAGTTTCGTAACCACAGGAAAAAGTTCTCATTTATTGTATATACGTATTTTTGTTGCAGAGAAGTAGGACAGAATGATCCATAAAAAAACTTTCAATTATAAAAATACTCTATACTTGAATACAATTCTGTAAGGAAATAGAATGGAAATACAAGATCAAGAACAAAAAAGGAACACTATAATAAAAATTATATGAATTATGACTATTAAAAAAAAATGTCCTAAGTTTTTTTAAGTAGGCTCCACCCCCAGCCTGGAGCCCTACACAGGGCTTGAACTCACTACCCTGAGATCAAGTCAGATGCTTACCTTCCTGAGACACCCAGACACCCCGCCCTAGGTATTTTTATTTTTATTTATTTAAATATTTTATTTATTTATTTGTCAGAGAGAGAGTACAAGCGGAGGGTGCAGCAGGCAGAGGGAGAAGCAGGCTCCCTGCTGAGCAGGGAGCCTGATGCGGGACAATCCCAGGACCCTGGGATCCCGAACCCAGCCGAAGGCAGATGCTTAACCAACTGAGCCACTTATGCATCCCTAGTCCTAAGTATTTTTAAATGGATGATTTTGTGTATCAAACTGCTATGACATTTAGATCTATTTGGATATATTTACAAATAACATGACAGTTTTTTTTTTTAAGATTTTATTTATTTGACAGAGAGAGAGACACAGTGAGAGACGGAACACAAGCAGGGGGAGTGGGAGAGGGAGAACCAGGCTTCCCACCGAGCAGGGAGCCCGATGTGGGGCTGATCCCAGGATGCTGGGACCATGACCTGAGCCGAAGGCAGACGCTTCACAACTGAGCCACCCAGGCGTCCCAACTTGACAGTTTTTGTTTATTTGTTTGTTTTCAAGATTTTATTTATTTATTTGGGGAGAGAGAGCGACCACAAGCAGGGCGAGCAGCAGGCAGAGGGAGAAACAGGCTTCCCGCCGAGCAGGGAGCCCGATGCGGGACCCGATTCCAGAACCCTGGGATCACGACCCCAGCCGAAGGCAGATACCCAACCCACTGAGCCACCCAGGCGTCCCGACAGTTTTATTTAAAATGTCGATATTTGTAATTTGCTGGAAATTAGATTTCCCAAGATCTAAATGTATGAAGAAAATGTACAGGTAGTAGCATAGGAACATGCAAAAGATTTCACGGGTTTTCAACTCTTCAAAACCAGTTTCCAAACTGGGCTCCGAGGCACCCCGTGCCACTGTGGTGAGCTCACAGAGGCACAGGCAGGGGATTTTTTTAACTTTCTGAAGAAAATACAGCAACATCTATTGGATACTGTGTGGACTACTAACTCTAAAAGGTCACCATTTCAACACTGGATCACGCTACGATCCTTTTAATAATGTATTTTTGCAAAGCTGTTTTTTCCACGGTTGCTACGACAAAAGCAAATACCATAAGAAAACCAATGTGTGACAGGAAATGAAGGTGTAAGTGTCCAATCTGATTCCAAGGTTTGAGAAGCTGTGAAGTGTTCAACAGGTACATATTCCATTAGTAAGTATAGAAAATATAGTTATTTAAGAATGGAATAAAAATATTTTTCCTCTTTTTTTTTTAAGATTTTATTCATTTATTTACTTAGAGCTTGATCGAGCAAGTGAGCCAGTGGGGGGAGGAGCAGAGGGAGAGGGACAAGTAGACTCTACACTGAACGCAGAGCCCCACGCAGGGATTGATCTCATGACCCTGAGATCATGACTGGAGCCAAAATCAAGAGTTGGATGCTTGACCAACTGAGCCACCCAAGCGCCCCTCTTTTTTTTTTTTAAGTAAACTCAACTCCCAATGTGGGATTCAAACTCACAACCCCAGGATCAAAAATCACATGCTCTACCAACTGAGTCAGCCAGGTGCCCCTTAAGTATTTCTTTTGGTCTAGAGCAAAAAAAAATTATTGACACAACTTAAGGTGTCATGAACTGAAAAAGGTTGAGAACCTCTGCTTTAAAAGAGTGCGGGAGGTGGGGCGCCTGGGTGGCTCAGTCGTTAAGCATCTGCCTTCAGCTCGGGTCATGATCCCAGGGTCCTAAGATCGAGCCCCGCATCGGGCTCCTGGCTCAGCAGGGAGCCTGCTTCTCCCTCTGCCTGCCACTTCTCCCTGCTTGCACGCTCTCTCTCTGTCAAATAAATAAAATCTTAAAAAAAAAAAAAGTGTGGGAGCCAAACAGTGATCTGAAGGGGCACCTGCACCCCAATGTTTATGGCAGCAATGTCCACAATAGCCAAAATGTGGAAAGAGCCCAGATGTCCATCAACAGACGAATGGATAAAGAAGATGTGGTAAATATATACAATGGAATATTACTCAGCCATAAAAAAAAAAAATGAAATCTTACCATTTGCAACAATGTGGCTGGAACTAGAAGGTATTATGCTAAGCTAAATAAGCCAATCAGAGAAAGACAATTATATGATTTCACACATATGTGAAATTTAAGAAACAAAACAGAGGATCATAGGGGAAGGGAGGGAACAATAAAACAAGATGAAATCAGAGAGGGAGGCAAACCATAAGAGACTCTTAACAATAGGAAACAAACAGGGTTACTGGAGGGGAGGTGGGAGGGGATGGGGTAACTGGGTGATGGGGGAGGGCACATGATGTAATGAGCACTAGGTTTTATATGCAACTGATCAATCACTAAACTCTACCCCTGGAACTAATAATATTATATATGTTAATTAATTGAATTTAAATTTTTAAAAAAGTGGGAGCAAAAACAGTTTGATGACCACAAGCCTAAGAACTCTCTTTTAGTTATACTTGGGATTGCCAGCAGGTGGTGCTACCAAGATTGAGTTGGCTACGGAAGAGGCCCTATTCCTTGTTCCCAAGATCCGGAGAAACACTCCAGAGTAAGAAAGTGTTCCTGGACCAGACAAGGTATTATAAAACAAAATGGGACCTTCAGATCATGTATTCCAATAGTTTTCAAACTTTCAGAAAAAGCAACAGTCTCCTTTCAAACAAAATCTTTTTTTTTTAAAGATTTTATTTATTTATTTGGCAGAGAGAGAGACAGCAAGAGAGGGAACACAAGCAGGGGGAGTGGGAGAGGGAGAAGCAGGCTTCCGCTGAGCAGGGAGCCCGATGCGGGGCTCGATCCCAGGAGCCTGGAATCATGACCTGAGCCGAAAGGCAGACGCCCAACAACTGAGACACCCAGGAGCCCCTCAAACAAAATCTTAAAATAAAAGCAGAACCATTTCTTCAGTGGGCTGGAAGAGGCCGAAGCTCTACAATGACACCTAGGCTCAGCAGAAGGCACCCTGGAGAACTCCACAGCTCCAGGGAACACTTGAAGAAAATCACTCATCTAAATCACTCTCCACTTCACAGAGTAAACCAAGGCTCAGAAAGGTCTGATATCACAGGGGCAAGTTAGTGGCAGGGTTGGTTCCAGAATCTAAGTCTCAACAGAACTGAAAAGGAAGAACACATCTTCTACTTCATCCCACTGATCTTGAAGCCAGAAGGATTAGGGTACTGTTCTACCACCCACTGCTGGGGGACCCTGGGCAAATCACTTCACAGTGGAGACTCTGGTTTCATTATCTGTATAAAAGGATACAGAATTATTTTATTCTGCTTGGGTCTGGATCAAAGGAACAAATGCTAGAGTAGCAAGAAATAGTGGGGAAAGGATAAAGATTTTGAGGGCAAATGGGTATTTAAGTACTGTGACCTATAGTTTAAATGAACTTCTGATTCACTGTCAAGTACGTTAGGCCAAGAGTCTGGTCCCTTGAGGGAGGGGGCACAGACTTTTTTGGTGACCTTCTAAGGGACATTCTTCATTAACCTCATCATTTCCCATTCTGGCATCCCTCACCTTGCAAAGCCAACCCCTCTGCTGGTCCCACTGGTGTCTCGGAGGATTCGAGTGGAGATAACCTGGCCAAAAGGCTTCAGCATCCCCTCTAGTTCTTGCTCATCCATGGAGAGTGGAAGGTTTGATATGTATAAATTTGTGGGGTCCTGTTCCTGTTGCTGTGGGAAAAAAGGGAGGAAATGAAGCTCACAACTCTTATCCCTCCCCCACCCTCAGCCCTCATCACAGAATGACATCTCAGGAAAGACATAGTAGGAAGGGGCCCACATAAACAAAGGAAATCTTAACTATTTATAACACCTAGTCCCACTACCATGGATTGTACGTTGAGTCCAGCCAAAAAAAAAAAAAGCAGACTTACTACTTCTAGTACTTTACAAGCCCACTGATGACGTTTTAGCTGTCTCTTTAAGAACGAGGCAGAGCAGCGCTCCTCCCTCATGGCCAACAGCCTATTGCCGGGCTGGATTCTCTAGGACGAGCTCCCCTGCCGGCTGTTTTAAGTAAGCTCCCTCCCTCCTCTTCCGGCCACAGCAGAACCCTCGGAGTAGGAATGCCTGTTGACTCCCCAGTGGAGAGAGAGCAGGAAGGGGGAGAAGGGGAAAGGGAAGGCGATGTGCTGGGGGCTGCGCTAGGGGCCTGATGGAGAGTCACTGGGTCACCAGGCGGCCGGGAGAGCTCTAGTCTCATAGGAACTCTGAAAGCTCCTAAACTCCGTTGTCAGAGGGTTCTTTTCCGGCAAGAAGAGGTGGAAGAGCCCCTCCAGGGGGCAGAAGGTGCAAAATGGCAGTAACTTCCCAGATCTGTATTTTTAAGAATTGAAGCAGTCACTGCCCTAGACACTGGGTCACCAGCAACTTCAACCCCTTAGGGCTTTGTCTCTCTTGCACCAGACAGTGCAGGGGGACCAGCAGCCTGCCTCATCAGCTCTACAAGGATTTCAAGAAGGCAAGGGGGCAATCCCACCACAAAAAAGGGATAGAAAAGCCTCGAGTTTTCTAGTAAGTTGGATTAAAATAAAAGCTCCAGGGAGATGTGACAAGGAGGGACAGTTTCCTTCCTTGCTGTGGCTTCCCTCTCCCCCACCCCTAGCAACTCTCCTACCCTACCTCCCCTATCCCCCAAACACGGACCAAGGGAGAACAGCATGGGGAGGTGGAGAGCAAGGCTCTGAACTTCTGAGCTGCACAAGTCGCTGCTTCCGAGGACGTTGCAAAACTACCACAAGCTGCTTGGTAGGGAAGTGGGGCCAGGGTGGAAATGGGGAAAGAGAAAGAGAAAGGGAAGCGTCTTGACCCTCTCACCTGATTACATTATAATACTTGATGAGAGCAACAGAGTCTCCAGAGCTACCTGCCACAGATTTTGAAGACCACCTTCCTCTAGCAGCCAAGGGGTACTCCATGGGACCCAGCCTGTCTTTGGCCAGATAGTCAAAAAGTGCTGCAGATAGCCCTTGCCCATCAGGTTCATGGCCTTAAACCCTCTGGAAGGAAGCCTTAGACCTGGCCCTGTGGTGCTAACCACCAGCCCTCTGGGGAACAGACACGGGGCAGAAGACTTACCTTTGCCATCTGAGCCTGCACACCACTGGCTTTCAGTGCCGTGACAGCTTTCTGTGCGGCTGAAGGACTGTCGAAGTCCACAAAGCCATAGCCTGGAACAGGGAAACAGCATCACTGGGAGGTGGGGGTGTAAGGGAGGTAGGAGGCCAGGCTTTTCAGGAGACAGAGGAAGAGTTATGATCCATGGAACAGAAGTGGTAGGGAGAGAAAGAAATTAAGAGGTTTCAGGTGGTTATCCGTGTGCTCTTCAAACCCCATGAGATTTGGTCTATTTTACAGCTAAGAATGCCAAGTGCAGCGAAGTCTTTGTGGTGTTCTTGCCTTTTTCCGTCCCCACTAAGAAATTGGAGGTTTCAGAAACTAGGCTCTTTTAACAATCCGCAGCCCCCACCCCTAACAGAACTCTTTTCTGTTTTCTAGCCACATCCCAGGAACGCTAGGCATTTTCGAATAGGGCCTCTCCACTGCAGATAGCCAGCCGCCTGCGAGAAGCCCCACCCCACCCCAACAGACGGTCCTTTCCCTCCTTCCACTCTTCATCCCCACCTACAGCTGCTCGAAATCTCAACAAAGCTATTCATCCTTACAAAGGAACACCCACCAGGTCACCCCACCACTGTCACCACCACAAGCTTTTACAAGGCTTTACTAAGTAGAAATAAGCTTACCTACCCATACCCACCCTCCAATCCGGGGCATCTTCATGGAAACATGAAGTACAAAGTAAGCTCAAGAGACTCACAGGCACTCTGCAGGCTTCTAGCCTTGGGTCCCCAAAATAGCATTTTCAGCTCTAGCTCTCTGGTCACCAAACAATCTAAATATCTACTAGTCTTTTAAGCCTGAAAGCCTTAGAGACTCCTCCCCTCACTGGGTCCTAGGAGCGCAGCGCAGTGAAGTGCAGAGGCAAGGGGAGGCCTCACTCACAGTCGCTCTCCATCACCAAAGACAGTTGTTCTCTCACCTTTGCATTTGTTTGTGCTCTTGTCCAGGATGGCCTTAGTAGAGACAATCTTGCCATATCTGAGGGAAAAGAAAATGCAAAGTGAGGGGCGCCTGGGTGGCTCAGTCGTTAAGCGTCTGCCTTCAGCTCAGGTCATGATCCCAGGGTCCTGGGATCGAGCCCCGCATCGGGCTCCCTGATCGGAGGGAAGCCTGCTTCTCCCTTTCCCACTCCCCCTGCTTGTGTTCCCTCTCTCACTGTGTCTCTCTGTCAAATAAATAAATAAAATCTTAAAAAACAAAACAAAACAATAGCATTAAAAAAAAAGAAAAAGAAAATGCAAAGTGATGATGTGGGGGCAGGAATTTGGAACAGGACAGAGACTGAGACATCTGGATGAATCCATGCCCTTTCTTCACAACTGTTCCCACTCAAACCTTAATAAAAACAAAAAGAAATGAATTTAAAATGTCATGCTTATCATACAAACCCATTCTCCAAAGGTGCCTACAAGAAATAAGGTAACTTTAGTCCTTACAATATCAACACATTTCTCTCTTCTTCCCCACCTAAGGCTCAGATATGAGTTGGAAAGAGACTATTGTCTTCTGGGAAAGCAGCTTGGTGATGTCCACATAGCAGAGTGTGTACGTGCAGAGCTCTGGCTAGATTCCTTGCAGACTAACTATAATCCTTAATAATTAATTACCTTCTTTTGGAGAAACACCATTCCTCCTAGGAAAAATCTATAGACACTTCTCTTCTCTGACACCCTGTTCCCCACCCCGGGCGAAGGTTAACCTGAGCCAAACTGCGTTTGTTCAAACCCTGGTTCTGCCACTTTGTAGCTATCCGCCATCTTGGACAAGTCATTTAACCTTCCGGGGCCTCAGTCTCATCATCCATGGAGACCGGATTGTTGGGAATATGAAATGAATTCATGAATATAAAGCACTAATGTCTACCACATGGTAAACACTTGGAAGTTCTTAACTGCTATTATTATTGTTTTATATTCAAGGAACCTCAACCTTAATGCAAGCCGTTCTCTCTCCTGCTTTGCTTTATTCTAAGATTTCTATTTCTCACTGTCAAGACCCGAGCATGTTAGGGAGATGAATGGGTATAAGACCAGGTGCAACAACAGTGTTAGTAAAATTACCCAAAACATGACAATAAGACAAAATGAAGACTGCATATCCTTTCAGTGTCGTTCTGGAACACTGTCTAAAAGGCCCATTTGAAATATATTTCACTATCTAGGGGGATGTTTCTTTGACTTACTATTTACTACTGATTAGAGTCCAGACCTTGCAAAGATACGTATTAGCTTGTAGATTTTGTCCAGTAGAAATGCAAATTTCTTTTTTTTTTAGTTTTTAAAAAGATTTATTTATTTATTTGGGGGGGCAGAGGGAGAGGGGACAAGCAGACTCCGTGGTGAGCACAGAGCCCAATGTGGGGCTTGATCCCATGACCCCAAGACCATGACCTGAGCCAAAATCAAGAGTCAGATGATCAACCGACTGAGCCACCCAGTGCCCCAATGCCAATAATTTCTGTCCAGTAGAAAAGAGAATCCCAAAGGTTACTGTTTTATAATGTCCCATAGGATATGAACCAGTTTTGTTTATAACCTAGCAATCTTATTCCAACACTCTTTCTTCAGTACCTACACTCAGTCCCTCAAACGCTCTTTGAACCCATTTAGCATCCTGTTGGTTCCCTTATTCATGAATGAAATAAACCTTGAGTATGTGTTTACCTATCTTTGTAGGAGTCATGTTTTTCAACTTTTTGAAAATTATACTTTGGCAGCAGAGGCATGTGGAGTTCCCCGAACTTGAGCAGCGCAGTACCACAGGGCAGGACTATACTAGAAGTGTTCCACCAGAAAGAAGTCTCTACATTCCACTCTAGGAAGGTGAAAATATTAAAGATACAGGAGGACAGAAATCACTAACAGAATCAGAAGTACAGGATTTAACTGAAAACAGTTGGCAGGGACTGAATACGAGGCCAATACCCCAAACAAGTATTGTGGGGGTTCCCCCCATCCCTAAAGAACATTATGATGATTGATATATTTGTTTTGCTCCTTGGCAGCCTCTGACTTTTTTGGTGGGGCTTCTGTCACCCAATGGATTAGACAGAATAAGCCAAGCAGTGGTCTGGAGGTTGGGAAAAGAACACATTAAAATGGCGGTGGGGATGAATGTGGTGCTCCTAGCCCTTCAGGGCCACCTATTTGGATTCTTTCCCAGGTGTAGGCAAGGGAAGGGATGCATGAGACCGGTGGGAGGACAAATATGCTGCCATCTTTAGCAAGGCCCCAGGGTCTGAGTGGGCTGAGACTTAGAGCCCAGAGCTTCCACTGCAGCTGGCAACAGCTGGCTGCTGCTGCTTCCTCCTAGAGGAAGAAGCCCCTCCAGACAGTCAGGGGTTCCAGTCTCAGACTCCAGGCCTCTACTGCCTGCCCAGCAGGGGTTAGCATCCAGCAACATTCACGTCCCCTACAACCAGAGCCACAACTGGGACAAAAACAGGAAGTCCCTCTAGGCATGGTAAACACCCTTCCTAGAAAGTTAACTCCCAGCTCACAGCATCCATAAGGGTTCCAGCCATCTGCTCTTCTCAGCCTCCTTTTTTGTCATAATTCATCTAGCACCTAGTCTTTCCCTGCCTCATTTCTACTCCTCCATAGTCCCCTATCGGGCTCCTTGGTTCTAGCCCATATCATGACCCTGAGTACTCTCATCCCTTCAGACACTAAGGTAAGGCAACTGTTGGGAAGAGCAAAATGAAAGTCTAAAAGTATAGTGAAGTTGGGGCGCCTGGGTGGCTCAGTCGTTAAGCGTCTGCCTTCGGCTCAGGTCATGATCCCGGGGTCCTGGGATCGAGTCCCACATCGGGCTCCCTGCTCGGTGGGAAGCCTGCTTCTCCCTCTCCCACTCCCCCTGCTTGTGTTCC